ATTCTTACTCCCAGATGCCTGGACTTCAACGACAGTGCTGTTTGACACTTCAGACTGATCAATAGTCACTTTGTTTGATAACTGTCTCTGTTGGCTTCCACAATGACTGGATTGCTTATCACCATGCAACAAAGTTTGTGAATTCTGGAGAGATGCAGAAGACTTGGTGATGTCTGAATTAATTTCACATTGCGAATCTTCCAGAGGGGTTTTCTCAGGTACAGTACATACACCATTTATGACATTTCTCCTATTAACAACATGACTTCCTATACATGTGTAATTTGGTGCTTCAGAAAAATTATTCAGAGTTATATTATCCATATTTTGTTGAACAACTTCAGAAATAGGCAAGTCTTCAGATTTGCTCAACTGTTTGTGAACTCCATCCAATCTTGTCTGAAATTGTGCTGAAGTAGGAATATCAGTTAGAGGTAGTGGTCCACTCTGGCTGTTTCCTATATCGGGTAAACTCTTACTTATGGTAGGGTTCGTGAGAGATTCTCTCTGGCTGTTCTCCTTAGCAGACAGTGTGTCACTTGCTGTATTACTTGCAAGAAATCCATTCTGGTTGTTTCCTCTACCAGAGAGACAGTTACTTGTACTTCCTGCCAGTGTACCACTCAGACTGTTTCCCTCATCACGAAGATTGTTATTTGGTGTAGTATTTGCAAGAGATCCTCTCTTATAGTTTCCTCTATCGGGTAAAGTCTTACTTAAGGTAGTGTTTGTGAGAGATTCTCTCTGGCTGTTCTCCTTAGCAGACAGTGTGTCACTTGCTGTATTACTTGCAAGAAATCCATTCTGGTTGTTTCCCCTACCAGAGAGACAGTTACTTGTACTTCCTGCAAGTGTACCACTCAGATTATTTGGTGTAGTATTTGCAAGAGATCCTCCATTATTGTTTCCTCCATCAGAGAGACTGCTCCTTCTCTGTCCACTCTGTGTGTTCCTCTGATAAAAGAGATTGTTACTTGATGTACTATTTGTACAAGATTCATTTTGATTGTTTCCCTTATCAGAAAGACTGTTTCTTGTACCATTTATAAAATATCCATTGCAGTTTCTTCCTCTACTGAACAAACCATTTTGTGCTGGTACATTCTGAGAATGTCTCCCATAAGAGATACTGTCACTTTCTGTATTACTAGCATTTGTTCTTCCACTGTTCTGTCTTTGAATTACATATAGTGGTGCTCCATGTAATTGCAGTTCTGAGATAGGTCTCACTGCAAGTGTTCGGGACTGCTGAGGGAATGATCCTCTAGTGTAGGATCCTCCGTTTTCTTGACAAGCAGGGACATTGCATTCCTGAGCACGCACACACTGCTGAACTTGTAAAGTCATCTGTGTTAATTGTGCAAGGCTTGATGACGGAGCTCCAAGAGGCGGAGGTGGATACAAATAATTTCTTGTCTGATGCACATTACCAGGACCAGCAGCTGGAGCACTTAAAAATCCATGCAATAAAATGTTTCCCTGTGAAGGAATATTATTATACATGTGATGAGAAAATATACCCTGATGCATGGCTTGATTTGGTAGATAATGATGACTGGATAAATGAGTTCTATTTGGTATAGCAACATTGTTCAAATTATCCGAGAATGTACCTTGCTGTATAGCACTAGGACATAAATGACTGGAAGAGTTTGGAGCAGGCATATTTGGGAGAGTTTTATTCACTGACTGAGAATATATACCCTGCTGCATGGTTTCATTTTGAGGGTACGATTGAATGGAAGAGACTGATGCTGATATATCTGGTAAACGCACACGATGAGGGAATTCACCTTGCTGTGTTAATGGATGTAGCTGACAAGAAGAGTTTGTAGTTGATATATTTGGGATAACATTCCTCACAGATTGAGAAAATGGAACCTGTTGTATAGGCTGTTTTTGATGGTATGGCTGACTGAGAGTCTTCAGAGCTGATTTATTCAGAACAGCATTTTTACCCATAATATGGGGGAACATGCCCTGCTGAGTATCTTGACTTGATTCACATATAACTCTTGATGAACTTGCATTTTGGATACGATCAATACTTGAATGCTGTAAGAATGTACCTGGTTGTATAGCTTGACTCTGTGAATAGATGCTACTGTAAGAGTTACGATATGGTGCACCTTGTCGAATTGGTGGATATGGACGACTGAAAGAATCTGGTTGTGAGTAACTTGATCCAGATACAGAAGCATGTCCCGTGAATCCTATAGCTACATTGTTGTTTCCATGATAAGCAGGAAGTGTTTGAAATGCAGACTGTGCAGTATTATGTGCCCCATGGGTACTCTGAACTATTTTAGCAACTGTTCTGTTTTCAGATGGGCCATTATAAACTTGGCCTTGTGTAAGTGCAATGGGTCCATCAGTTGCAGAGACAGACATACGAGGAATAGAATTAGAATTAGTCTGGCATTGTTCACTTGAAAATCTCCGAGTCTGCGCAGGATTATAAATGGTAAATTGTTGTTGATAACTGTTTCCAATCTGAGAATGTCTTGCACTGAAATTTGTTCCTACTTCTCTTATTGCATCCACATAAGAAGGTGGAGGAACATTAGTAAGAGAACCTGAAGTGTGAGTCCCCATCTCCATTCTACCAGCTGTGAACTGAACTCCAGTACCAGATGCAATATTCTGAACAGATTTAGAAGTTTGCTGTTTCGAATTTATATTTGCTCCACTGTTTGAAATGTGTCCTGCTTGTGACAGAGATAAAATCTGATTATTTGTATTCCAGTTAACATTACTTGTAGTCGGAACTTCAACAGGCTGTTGCTGATGCTGCTGTGGATATGGAACTGATGAATTCTGGTTGCGAATATACTTACAACAATGTAGACATCTTTCTAATTCCTCTAAAGTATACATTCGAATGGGATTCAATTCATTGAGACGTCTAATCAGAAATTCTTCAATTTGTTTTGGAAAACTTCTTTCAACACACTTATATAAATCAAGAAAGGAAATGGCCTTATAAGTCATGTGAGGGCTCATCCATTCTGCCTTTACCAAAGCTGTTTCAGCATCCCTCAGAGAACCTCTCAAGGGAGACAGGGCTTTATGACGTTCATTAATACGAATCATATCTTGCATTAATATGTATGTAAATTGTGTCAAATCAGACAATTTTTTATCCATTACTTCAAAAAATGAACTCCCGGGCAAAGTGATGCCCAAACTTTCTGGATCTCGAACTCTAATCCGTGGCAAAATCTGAGAAACAGCTGCATCAGCTACATGTGGGATGTCATTTGTGCTTGTGCTATTTGACAGGCCAGCTTTGGACTGAGATGGATTAGCAGTCAGACTGTGGCCTAACTGTTCTGGTGGCTCTTCAGATGTGACTGAAGGTCTACAGTCACTGTTTGAAATATCTGTCTGTAATGTAGAAGCAGACGACTTGCTCTGGTTAAAATGTGCATTTGATTGTGGGAAGTTACCACCTTCTTTATCACAATCTACATTCAATTCGCAGTCTGATTCTGACACACACTTCTCTTTCCCAACTTCATCACATTCCTTTTGAATATCTTTGTCATGTGCTATTACTCTGTCAGTTTCTTTTCCTTCTTTTACCTCAGCTTCTTCAGCTCTTTCATTACATAATGTCTGTGATGAAGCAGTTTCTGCATGAATTGGAGCTATTTCAACATCAGTTTGTTTTGTCAGAGTTTCTGGTAAATCGGCATTCTGTGAGTGAGAGACAGAATCTTGAACACTTTCTTTGCCACATAATACCAAATCCTGAGGTGGTTCACTCCTTGACAGACTTTCAACTGTAAGGTGTTCATTACACGACTGACTTTCCTCGTCATTTACTTCATCAGAAACAGGCTGAACATGCTTCATAGCACTTTCGGCTGCTTCCCTGAACAATGTCGATACTTCTGCATTGTCTGATACTGTTAAATTTTCTTCTACATTCTCTCCAGTGTCCAATGACTTGTTGGGATCTTCTGTACACCTTTCAGCAGATGCAAATCCTTTAACGCTTGCATGTCCATCTGGTGCATTATTAGTATCCTCTACAACATTATGATTTACTGAAATTTGTTTCATTGTAGCACCAGACTGAACTTTTTGGGGACTTGGAAACAAAGTATCTATATTTCCCATGTTTATTATTAAGTGAAATACTGAGTTTTCCCCCTCAGTTATGGAGCCTGTAAGATGTACGTTACTTTCTTGGGTTTCAAAATCAAGATGTAATTCAGCTGGCTTCAGTCTATTATTCTGTGAACCTGTGACCACAACAGCTCTGTCTCTCGCTGAACAGGTTACTGGTAGCTCAGTTTCACATCCTCCAGGTTCAATATCTTTGTGATGATCATTCTCTGCCAAAGTATCAGCACATACTACTACCGTTTTGCTAGCTGCTATGTGTAAGTCATTTCTGGGGAATGTCAAACTTGAATTATCTTCATTATTGTGTTGTATTGTAGGAGCACTTTCTCTGTCTTTAATGGAGCTGCCTACATTACCTTGGTGGTGGTTACTCTGTTCTAAAGAAACAATTGGCTGCGTTAATTTCTGGGAGTCTGTTTTCTTCACCTTACTTTCATGGTGTAAGGAATTCAACTGACTACCTCCAAATTCTTCACTTTTCTGGTGGTCACTCTGTCCTTCTGTTCCTTTATTGAATGTTTTCATTCTTGATTCACTTTTACAAAAGGCACTGAACCGATAATCTTTGTTACTGTTACCCTTTTCTTTGTGATTCAGTTCAAAAGGAGAAGCAAACACAGCATTTACGTCCATGGCATCAGACACTGTTGCTAAGACAGCACATGTGTTATTTTTCTGCAAAACCTTAAAACTCCCTCCATTAGGATAATTAAAGTTTTCTCTTGAAGGTTCATCAGGATCCTCTCCAAACAGTTCCAACATAATTTCTTTCTTCTTCTTTTTACTGAATTTTGGATCTAATTTAGGTCCATGTGATGGATTTCTATTTGCTATATC